CAACCTCTGTGGAAAGCAATATGAAGATACCTCAAAGAGATACAAGGAGATCTACCATTTGATCCAGCAATCCCATTACTGGGCATCTACCCAAAAGAACAAAAGACGTACTATAAAACAGACACCTAACCTCGAATGTTTATAGCAGCACAATTCACAATTGCAAAGATGTTGAAACAACCCAAGTGCCCATCAATCCATGAGTGGATTAATAAAATGTGGTATATGTATACCATGGAATACTACTCAGCCACGAAAAACAATGGTGATCTAGCACCTCTTGTATTATCCTGGATAGAGCTGGACCCCATTCTACTAAGTGAAGTATCCCAAGAATGGAAAATAAGCACCACATGTACTCACCATCTAATTGGTTTTAACTGATTGACACTTAAGTGCACATATAGTAATGACATTCATCAGGTGTCAGGCAGGTGGGAGGGGGGAGGAAGGGATGGGTATATACACACCTAATGGTTGCGGTGCGCACCTTCTGGGTGATGGACACACATGAAGCTCTGACTCGGGTGGGGCAAGGGCAATATATGTAACCTAAATATTTTTACCCCCATAATATGCTGAAGTAAAAAAAAAAATACTTGAAACCAATATTACTCAAATTTGTCCAAAAAGAAAGAGAGGGAATCCTTTCCAATACACTCTATGTGGCCAGCATTACTCTAATATCAAAGCCATATAAAGATACCACAACAAAAGATCAATATCTCTTATGAATATAGATACAAAAATTCTTTACAAAATACTAGTAAATTGAGTCTAACAGCACATTAGAAGTTTTTCACGCAAACAATCTAATTTAAAAATGGGCACAGGACTTGAATAGTCATTTTTCCTAAGAGGGTATATAAATGGCCTTTAGTACATGAAAAAATGCCCAACATCACTAATCATTAGGGAAATGTAAATAAAAACCACAATGAGATACCACCTCACCCATTAGAAGGGCTACCATCAAAAAACAAGACAGACAGTGATGCCAGCAAAATGGCTAATTAGATACCCCAAGCACTCATCATCTTCTGAAAGACAGCCAAAACAATAAATATACAACTACATTTTAATGAAAATAACTAAAGGAGAGGGCAAGAGTACATCAAAGTAATAACAGAAACACTGAAACTCAGAATACACATATAGAGGATAGGAAGAAACACTAGGCCTCCACAACCTCATTCCCCAACTGGGATCAGCCGGAAACCAGGAAGAATTTATCCCTACAACAAAAAGGTAAGCAAGAGTATCCCAGCAAACTCCCATCAACACTTTGAACACTTACAGCCCTCAACACTGGGGACCCCTGCAGTCTTCACAGGCATGAAACCCAGCTGAGGGAGTTGCCTGGAATCCACATAGCTGTGCTAGCCACAGAGAAGGAGCTGAAACTGTCCTACTCTCTGTGCCCTGCATGGCTATTGTGTTAAACTATCTTGGAACTGGAACAAAAGCTGGAGGGGATCGTGCTCCAGAGATGAGCAGCCATGGCTCCCCTTCGTCCTTAAGGATAAGCCACTGTCAAACCACCTTTAGGTGGTGGCCTGACATCCCCAAGCCAAGCTTCAAGCAGCTGTTACACCCTTCCCTGAGGGCCAAGTAGAGGTGGAGTATCTCCACCTACTTCTCCCATGTCCCCAGGCAGAAGCAGAAACTTTGGAAACACTTTGGAGTATTTGTGGAGCTGCTCCAAAAACTCCTACCAGGTGATGCTGTGCCCTGCCCTACAGGATTCGAACTGAAGTTATACACGGTCAGTCAAGGGAAGAGTGCTATGGCGGAGCCACTCCATATAATCTTCCATGCTGCTGCTGCATCCAGTCACCGTGTGCCAGAGCAGGAGCAATGCCAGGCATCCAGGGAAATGGTGTCTTGGCCACCCAGAGAAGTCACAATCCTTTGTGCTTGAGCTAAAGCAGTACCCTCCCTCCTGGGAAAACAATACCTTTCTGCTCAGAAAAGACACACTGCCCTGGTGTCTAAATTGAAAAAGCAACCTGCATCCCAGGAAATGGTGCCTTGACTACCTAGAACAGTCATACATCCGACATGTAAGCCGAAGTGGTACCCTGCAGGGGTGAATTCTCTTATTGTCTTTAATTTTTGACAGTTTGGCTATAATGTGCCATGGAGATGTTTTGGGGTTGTATCTATTTGGGGATCTCTGAGCTTCCTGTAACTGGATATCTAAATCAATTCATAGACTGGGAAAGTTTTTAGTTATTATTTCATTAAATAGGTTTGGGCTTTCTTACCTTCTAGAACACCCAATATTCAAATATGTGGTTGCTTTACAGTGTCCTATATGTGACATAGTCTTTGTTCATTCTTTTGTAGTCAGCTGTCTTTATTTTTGTCTGTCTGGGTTATTTCAAAAACTTTAGTTAAAGTTAGAATTTTTTCTTCAGAAGATAAATATATTGGAGTAGTCAGGCAAATTGGCTGACTAAAGACATCAATCCTCAGATTATCTCAGAATAAAGAAAAAGTTTCAGTGAAAAAGCATAGCCCAGGTGGAATGAGGAAAGAGGGCCAGAACACACTGAACATTCCACAGGAAGAAGTTGCAGAGCAGAACAAAAACGAGCAAGATTTTGGCCCTGAGGAATCTGTAGTCCCACAGAAAGAGTAGGTGTGGGTTTATACCTTTCCTCCACTCATATTTGTAGCAGACTGCTGGCTCCCCAACTGTCAGCATGCCCCTCTACCCTCATGAGCCCAAGAAATGCTTCCATTGGCAAACTGAGAACTTCTTATGTACATAATACCAGACTGCCAGCCCGCGTGGGGCTACTTCCCCCACCATAGTCCCAAGCCCAGATGGCAGGCACTATACTGCTGGTGCATCCATTGTGTGTCTCTATCCCGTCCAGGGGGTCTCCTTGTCACTGGATCCCACACAAATATTCCCCAGCACTCACTTGGACTGTAATAACCCAAAGGTCATGGGAAGTACAGGAGAGCTACAGAATTCCCAGAATTCTGACTCCTAGGATGGGCTGCCCCTAGAGAATGGGAAAGTGCCTTGAGCCACATAGTTTTCGGGGACAAAGGAAAGTGGAGCACATGCTCTCCTCCACCTGAGAGACTATGGCTTGTGATGCAAATTTCTCTTCACCTACCCTAGTGGAGATGTGGGTTCAGAGTGGAGTCCATATGTTCTTAACATCTTACCTGCTCCATTTTGATAAGGAAACAATCAATAAAGTCCCGAGGATTGTTAACATCCAACGATTCTTGGTGTTCTTTTACTTTCTCCAAAATATAACTTTTTATAAAAACAGCATTGTTAGATAATGTGTTAAGGGTCGCTGGGAAATAATCGATGAGAGCAGGGAAATTATTGTAGATCTAAAAGACAAACAATAATTTATTGAATAAAAAATACTAATTGAAGACATATGCCATAATCCAAGCCCTGGTTAGAAATTATAGTTATTAAAATGAACATATGGTGTCCATCTTGAGGGAGACATTTTTATTGTGCATATATAGTAATTCTCAATGCTTATGGAAAGATTTGAGGGAGAAAATTCTGACCAGAGAATCAAATATAATAATCATTTCCTAGACTTATACATAATTTTTATAATGTAACAGCATCTTTATGTTCTCTCATTTTTATACCAATTATTCCCCACAACCTTGAAATATAAGATGGAATGAATTACTAGAATTCACATTTTGTAGATGACAACACATTTTAAGTGAGTTTGGGCAACTTGGTTGAGAGCACAAAACTAGCCCCCGCTTTATTTATTTCTATCAAATAGCCTCAGAAAGGGAATCATTATTTGTAGAAGTAGGAGGGGCTCAAATATACCTTGAAACTAACTGTGCACCAGAGCAGTTACGTGACTTCTCTGAGATCACACAATTGTTATTTAGGCAGAGTGTGGGATATGCCAATTCAGCACAGGGTAAACTTGTGATGGTCATTTCTGGTTCATACACCATAAAACTAACCATTTTGTCATTTCTAACCCAGATACCTTGTTGGCTAGGATGCCACCTGAGGCATCAAACACCCCTATGCTATGCAGTATTGTTTCCTGGCAGTTTACTGGCAGAGTATTTCTATGGTCCTACATATTCTATTTCCTTGAGAAGATATTATCTCCCTAATTAGGCTATTTCTGACATGTAATATGACAAACAAGTCTCAAAATGTTGATTGGTAGGCAAGCCTTTTGGGTAACAGAAGCATTCAGAAAGGGCTTGAATGTCCACTGAGTGAAGTAGGCATACTTTGAACAGTTAACAAAGTACTTTATAGAAACAGGACCTTGGGTTTAATGGAAAAATCACTATATAGGAAGCTAATGGGCTTGAAAGCCTGCCCTATATTTCGGCATTATCTCCTGTGTGTAATATAAAGAGCTCAGCAATCTTTCCCAGATGTTTATTCCATGACTTTATTGGCAGAATAGTGGTATTCAAACATGCACTTCACAGCCTGGTCCACATAGAATTTTGGAATTCTCAGAGAAAAGGGCGTAACTTGTTTCTCAGGAGGAAAGGATCATGGTCTCACCTGCATCCATGGGGAGCTGAGAATGTTGACATTAGCATATAATTTTTCCAACAACTTAAGAAAATGCTTATCTTTATAATCAGAACGATTCTGGAAAATAATGGAGCAAATCACGTTGCAAGGAGCACAGCTCAGGATAAAAGTGGGATCACAGGGTGAGGCTAAAGAATTGGAAACAATTTTAAAATACATTAAAATACAAATAAAAAACAATTGGTCTTTATTAATAGGTAAAGGTAATTTTAAATTTTTAAGGAATATCTTACATATAAATTCCCTTAATAGCGAAAAAGAATTCAGCATGCATAAAATCAACACATCATTTTGACCTTAAACCTGAGTTGGCCATTACAACGTAGCTGGTTAAATAATGGTTTTGAAAATACTCAATTGTGATCTATTGCCTTTGTTCATACCCTTTTAAGTCAAGGTGTCTGTCATTTTCGAAAGAAGGAAAAGACATTATTTGAAAACCTAATAGTTCAAGTTTTCAGAGCAGAATCACATCTGTCTGAAAAACTTGTTGACAATAAAGGACTGAGATAGAAAGGGAGAGAACAGGTGGGGAACTGGAAACTTTTTATATATAATACTAGCTGAAAGAATCATGTATTGAACCAATAGAGAGGAACTGAAGAGAGAGAAATTGAGGAAGAATTCATGTATTTTGAGAAACAAGTGTAAAAAGGAGAATGCATCTATGGTACAGGAGGAGAAAACTAATAAAAACAAACAGTAAGTATAAGATGGATTTGACTGTCACAAAAAAATACAATGAGAACTTTTTATTTGAAATATAAATCCTCGGTAAGGAAAACAAAAAAAATAAATTTATAAATGCAGATATTTTTATTTCAATTTTAAAAAAAAAACAAATTTTCTTCTGTAAGAAATAAATGTCTACCATCTCCAATCATCCTCAAAACTTAAGTTGTGAGCAAGGCTGCTATTTTGTGGATTCTGAGATATTGTTCCATACAGCCATCAACAGTATATAATATGTTTTAAGAAATTTTTTTATATTATATGTCAGATGTCTTATTGTACAAATAACATATGTTTAGAAATTTTAAAATTTGATAATCAGTTAGGCCAAGTCTGTCATTTTACAGGTAAGGAAACTAAATTATAGGAAAGGTTTTCTTTTTTCCTGAGGGATCTCCAAAACAAAATTCTTGTAGTCAATTGACCAATGAACTTTATATGTAAGGAGCTCTTAAATTCCTATCTATAGATGATAATAAGGGTGATTTGAATAAAAACTTTTCTGAATAAATGGTAGAACACTGAAAAACAGGAAACACCTCAAGTAAGCTACTTCTATGTCAAGCTCCTTTAAATATTACAGGGCTCCAAGCTTTAGAAAAAGTTTTATTTTAGCCTAGCAGGTGGAGGGTAATTGGAGAAGCCTTGGGGATGCCTTCTATCTCCACTTCTATTCAACATAGTGCTTGAAATCCTCGCCACAGCAATTAGGCAAGAGAGGGATATTAAGGGTGTCCAAATGGGGACAGACGAGATCAAACTCTCGCTCTTTGCCGATGATAAGATATT